AACAATCAACATAAACGCGCAAAACATCATAAACCCTGTCTACCCCCATCGACCTCACCTTGCCTTGTAAAGCTGCCAGCAAATAGTTGTGGGAGTTACTTAGATGTATGATTTTATGCAATTTCGTGTCTGTGTGTTTGAGTGGCAATTTGGGCAGCGCAATTCATGTTATAGCCCGATATCGAATATATCTACTATACTCGTTGTATGTATAGGTTAAATACATATAAAAAGCTTGCTATCGCAGCGATTTGTTTACATTTTTATTGTTTCCTGTTAGCGCACTAATCCACAACGATATGAACTCATACACTGTTATGTCCTTACGCACACATACTTTGTACATAAATACTCGTACATAAATATGTTTGTTTGTTCATGGCATGCATGAGCGCATATTTGCAACTAAAAACAAAGCCACTTCAACTGATAGATATTTGGCTAAGCTATCGACTGTACATACATATGTATATGTAAATGGCTGAATGCATGTGTTTTTACATACATTTGTAGGTGTGTATGTATGTAGGTAGATTTTCGCAGAATATTGCAAATATAATAAATTCAGTGGCAGCACATAGACTGCCCGCTCGGGGTCTCTAACCTCCCAAATCCCAAATTGGTGAGAGCTTCACAGTGACACAGTCTGCATACATTGTATGTGGTAGGTGTAGCGACCCAACCTCTGCCAGATAAAATGTGCTACGCAAGTATCTGTATGTTAACTCCGTTTATCTCCAATAATCGCGGAGATCCTTCTTTATCCACCCATCGCAAATAGTTTAGGTTAATGGGTACCCGATGAAGTTCAGAGCCGATCCGATTCATCAAAGAGCTTCTAAGCTAAAAAAGACCTTATTTCCTTACGTCTGTATGACGAGTTATGGAACGATTTTCCGACATCCCTTGCCAAATTTGGTTTGGAGACAAACCGGTTTCGGCATTGTGCCATGCCCAGTGGGTCGTTCTGAGTAAATGTGACTTCCTTTATGAGACCGCCAGCGCTGTTCTGGCTAAGGTAATTGAAAGTCTTTCGTAAGGCAATTAAAATACAGTAGGCGAGATGGTTTAAAAAACAGGAAAGTCTTACAAACAAAGCTCCCTTGCTAACTTTTGTGATGAAAAGCACTTCTATATAATTTTGATCCGAACGTCCGAATGAACAAAGTGAGTTCTTGGGCGTCAGTTTTTTTTTAATTTATTTACTTTCTTAATTTTTAATTTAATTTTATTTAATATTTAATTTCACGAGAAAAATACATACATATATGTTTTTTTCATTTAATTTTTAGAAACTTATTTTGTTTTTATTTTTTCTGCTTTTTTCAATTAGGTTTTTAAGATTTTATTGTTTTAAAAAGAAAAAATATTTTTTACTTTCAACAAATTTTTAGAAACTTATATTTTCTTCTTTTTTAAATAAAATTTGTTTCTTTTTTAAATTCATTTTACTTTAGCTTTTAGATTTCTTTGGTTTAAAAAGATTATTTTTTTTATTAAATTAATTTGTAAGAACTTATTGCATACTTTTCCTCTTTTATAATGTTCTTATAATTTTTAGAATTATTATTTAAATTGAATTTTTTTTTTTTGATTTTTTTTTTTTTTTTAATTACTATTTTTTATTTAATTTGATTTTCTTTTAATTCATTGATTTCATAGTTTTAA